GACTGTGTCGTTCTTTTATTTTTTTTTTTTAATTTTTTTTTCAACGTTTATTTATTTTTGGGACAGAGAGAGACAGAGCATGAACGGGCGAGGGGCAGAGAGAGAGGGAGACACAGAATCGGAAGCAGGCTCCAGGCTCTGAGCCATCAGCCCAGAGCCCAACGCGGGGCTCGAACTCACAGACCGCGAGATCGTGACCTGGCTGAAGTCGGACGCTTAACCGACTGCGCCACCCAGGCGCCCCTGTGTCGTTCTTTTAAAAACAGACTTACTGAAAGGAAGCCTGTAATTTATAACTGACAGGGATGCTCGAGGAAGGTTATACCATCAGAGTAGGGTGAGGGCACCCCATTAATGCTCTCGGTCCCCACCAGGACGGAGGGCAGCGTTCCTGTATCCACGACACCAGAGGAGCCATAGGGAATGGGCTCGTTGCCCCAATCCTGACCTTCAAAGTGGGGCCGAGCCCCAGGAGTGCCCAAGGTGGTATCCACAGAACTTCTAGGTATTCACACTTCCTTCTTCTGCAGAGAATAACATGTAAGCCGAGCCAACACATAACCTGCAAATGGACACACGGTGGGGGCGTGTGCCTGAGACCGCTTGGCCGCCGGCACGTGTGGTCAGGTCTGCAGACCACCGCCAGGCAGCAAGGAGCCATGGCAGGCTTTAAAAAGTCATTCCTAAGCCACTAATTGTATCACAGCCACCTTCACAGGTGCTGCAAGCTTCTGTGTGCCTCAGTCTGCACCCCTCGGAAGGGGCAGAGTGGGGACATGACACGCTTGAACCACGAATTGTGGGATATGGTGAGGCTGCATCACTGAGTTGTAGCTATATGCGAGGAGGCATCATGCGAGCTGTTGGCGGACAGAAAAATGATTACACAGCCAAGCCCACTTCTACGTGACAAGTGTTGGTGGTGAAAAGAAAACACTTCAAGATACAATAAAGAACCAACTTGCAGCACGACAGGTGCAAAAAGACAGGAGAACCAGGCCCTCTGGTACATAGGAAATGGCTTTTTCCAAATAACCATGACTCGAATGAAATAAAGAGAAAATAAAGAGACTGCTAAAACTGAGCCTGGAGAATGTCACCTCGAGAGATTCCCTCCCCACAAAGGTTCATGCTCACGGGCGGTCAACTACTTTGTGGTCACTCATGGAATGTTTTCTAA